CACCGCACCGGCCGGTGGCATGGAGACCCCAGAGTGGCCGATGGTCCCCGTGTGCCGGGCACCGCCCTGGTCTTGGCACTGAAAGCCCCGCGTCCCAGACAAGCCCTCGCCCGGATGTGCTGCCCGGAGGGCACAACACACACGGGGTTTTGAAAACTCGGACTGAAAGTGGCTGTGCCGGTGACTGAATGGTCACATTTCACGTAGGTTTTGGCTCTTTGCAGACCAGGCTTTAATTAGCGTTGTACCTGTTTCCTTCTACTCTATAACGTGGGCGCTAAGATTCCGCATGTGGCTGGCGTTGTATTTCTGTGGGACTCTGGGTACACGGTTCGCTCTCCGCAAATGCTGTCTCAGACGCACCTCCCAACCCCTGCCTCCTACCCGTAATCCTCTCGAGATGTTTTCAGCTTCGTGCCCCTCGTTCTCAGAACTGGGGGTTCCTGGCCCAATGGATTTGGGGAGGGTTAGGAAAGCCTTGTTTTGAACCCAAACCGTGTGGCTATATACATTTTTAAAAGGAGATTCCAGCCCTAACGGGTTTGGCTCAGTGGATAGAGCGTCGGCCTGTGGACTGAGGGGTCCTGGGTTTGATTCTGGTCAAGAGCACACGCACAGGTTGTGCACAAGTGGGTCTGGTGAAGTTGGGGGGTGGGGGGAGGCAGGCAGTGGGGAGCATGCAGGAGGCAACCGATCAGTGTTTCTCTCTCTCTCTCCCTCTCCCTTCCTCTCTGAAATCAATAAAAAGAAATTTTTTTTAAAAAAAAAAGGAGATTCCATAGCTTTCTTCAGATTCTCAAAGGAGCCTCTCCCCTGCCCCTCCTAAAACAAAACAAACCAAACAACAAACAAACCCCGCCAGCCCATGGTCCACATTGCGAAAGCCTGGCTTTTCTCCGCGTCTTGGCCCCCCTCCGACCGCTCTGGCTGGAGTGGCGTTGGGCACTTCCCGAGGGTCAGCGCTGACACGCTGCCCTGGTCCTGGTTTCCCTCCCCAAGGCCCCCCCCTCAGGCTCCGCTCACGTCTCCCACCGCTTTTCCCGCTCTGTGCCCGGGCACTTAGTTGCCTGTGGAGCCCAGAGTGGCCATGACCAGATTTTTCTTTTCTTCCCACCGTGCGTAGGCCTGGTGACTGCCCACAGCAGGCTGTGCGTCTCAGTGGCTTTAGTCTGACCTGGCCTGGTGGCTCAGTCGCTCGGAGCGTTGTCCCGGTCACCAGGGGGTTGTGGGTTTGATTCCTGGTCATGGCACCTCCCTAGGTTGTGGGTTTGTGTCGGAGCTTGGGGCAGCTGATGGATGTTTCTCTCTCCCTCTCCCTTCCTCTCTCTCTCTCAAATCGACAACAAACACCAAAAATACGTCCTCTGGTGGGGGGTGTTTTTAAGCGGATTTAGTCCTATTTTAGGTGTGAGTGCCCCCTCATTGGCGTCATGCGGGCAGATTGGCAGCGTGTGTCCTTCCCCGTGCAAATCCCTCCGCGATGACAGTGACTGTTACTAGCCTCTCCGGCGGAAGCACCCTCGCCATCCATTCAGGTGGTGGGTGAGCTCATCCCCGAGGCTCCTGTCGCTGCCCTGGTTTCACTGATCGCCCTGGGAAGCCCTCATCGTTTGAGTTACAAAACACACCCCAACCATTCCCCCCCCCATTCTTTTTTTAAATATGTTTTTATTGATTTCAGAGAGGAAAGGAGCAAGAAAGGGAGAGCTAGGAACATCAATGATGAGAGAGAATCATGGATCAGCTGCCTCCTGCACGCCCCCTACTGGGGATCAAGCTCGCAACCTGGACATGTGTCCTTGACCAAGATCAAACCCGGGACCCTTCAGTCCGCAGGCCGACGCTCTGTCCACTGAGCCACACCGGCCAGGGCCATACACTGACCATTCTTTATAGAATCCCAGCATTCTTAGGACCCCCCCGACCGTGCCGTTTTCCTAGAAATACTGTTCACTCCTTGGAAAGTCTGGGTAGCAAGACCCCCCTGCATTCCCCCAGATTAGCAGCCGCTGTCTTTTTCCTCTAATATGACCTTAAAGCGCACTTTCCTTTGAAAAATGAAAGCCTCCCATAACACAGTTACCGAGTTGTTGCTAACGTGACTCTGTGCTGCTACCCACACCTCCCCCGGCCAGTTACCTGCTCTTCCAGGCGGCGTGGTCTGCAGGGCAGGCGAGGGCTCTCTCTGCTGCTGTGTGTCCGTCCCACCGCCCCGGTGGCACTGCCCGGTCTTCAAGGAGCAGCCGAAGCCGGTTTGTCCCCGGGCTCCTTGCACCACGGGAGCAGGGCCAGGTGTTGACTTCCTGCACCACCCCCTCTTTTGCATGTCGGTGCGCAAGCCTGGCCCTAGGGGCTCTCCCTGGAGGTAGAACTTGGGGTAGATCCTGGCCCCCAGCCAGCTCAGGACACCTGCTTACCCAGACCGCACGGGTAGTGGCTCCTGAGGGACGCCTGGTTCTCCGAGTGGCAATGGTACTGACTCAGCCCTTCCTGGGCCCTGTCCTTCCATGCACCCAGGCCATGGCTCTGTGAATGCGGCCTCAGCCCGGCGACAGCCCACCTGTGGGCACGTGGGTTCCTGCTGGTGTCTCCCTCACACCTGTGGGCACGTGTGCTCCTGCTGGTGTCTCGCTCACACCTGTGCACCACGTGGGCTCCTGCTGGTGTCTCGCTCACACCTGTGCACCACGTGTGCTCCTGCTGGTGTCTCGCTCACACCTGTGCACCACGTGTGCTCCTGCTGGTGTCTCGCTCACACCTGGGGGCCACATGTGCTCCTGCTGGTGTCTCGCTCACACCTGGGGGCCACGTGGGCTCCTGCTGGTCCCCCGTATCGTGTGGCGCTGCGTCATCTCCCAGGCTCCACATGCGTTTCGTTGGCGTTTGTCTAACAAAACAAAACACGGTGGCATTTGTCAACAGAAAGTGAATGTTCGTGGAGAAGGGGGCCCGTGCAGTTTATAATCGGGGTCAGCGCTGTCTGAGCCGCTCCTGTTCGTTTCCATTAAAAGTGCGACCCCAGTGAACACACGGACGGTAAGAAGGGAACCAGCCCTCCTGCTGGGACAGAGACAGTCTTAGTGGGCAGATAGGGGCTCACACTAGCCACCCCTTCCCCAAACCCAGAGCCTAAACGTGAGTGAGGCCCGCACTCCTTCCGCTCCATGTGGGCTGGGAGGGAGGTGGCTGCCGGAGGAAGGTGAGAGCTGGCGGAGGTGGGCTCCTGCGGGTTCAGGGAAGAAGCCGTCTCCGTCATGAAGGTGCCGGAGGCGACAGTGACTCAGGAGCCCCGGCTGAGGTGACCCCGCGGTGGCTGTGTCAACAGCAGGTCGTCAGCGGAGACACAGCCTTCTCTTGGAAGACGATGCCAGCCAGGACTCTGCCAGAGGGGAGGAGGCAGTGCCAGGCCTCCGTGCGCCAGGACAGGCTGCCTCTCTCCGGGGCTCATGCGCTGGTGACTTTTAAGTTGAGGCCAGTGTGTGTCCACCTACCGTTCCAAGATCCCCAGGGCCCTTGAGACTTATGGCGGACCCCCTCCGCCCATGCCCTGGGAATGCGGCCTCAGCGCGGACGACAGCACCCCTGGGTGCAACCGGGGTTCGCGCCTCCTTTAAGCCCGCTGCGGGCACCTGTGACCTCACGGACAGTGCACCTCGGCACCCAGGAGGCTGACGGGCGCGGCTAACAAACCCTTCATGCCGCTGACCCGCACCCACCTGCAGCCTGGGGCCGAGGGGGCATGTCGGCCTTTACGTCTCACTGTTCAGGAAACACCTTGTGTAGACGTGGCTCCTCTGATGGATCTGGGCAGCGTGCCTGTAAAACCTCCGGGAAGGGATTCCCAGCCTGATGCCACCAGGAACCCTCCTGGGAAGAGGCCACAAGGTCAGCATCGGTGGGAGTTTGGGAGCCGACGAGTCCCACCCTCGTGGGTGACCTTGAGGGCCTCCGTGGAGGAAGCGCGAGGACTAGAGTTCCGCGTGGAGCCCGAGTTGGGGACCGAGCTGCTGCCATCTCCGGGTCAGACTGACCGCTCAGGATGTGCTCCTGCGGACGGGCAAAGAGAGCGGCGTTCCCGGGGAAGATGCTGGGAAGATGGAGATGACGACAGGATTTAGAATGTTCCGGAAGCAGTTGAAGCCGCGGCGGGGTCTGAGAGGACGGGCTGCAGCTCTGAGGGGCAGCGTGTCGGCTCAGGAGACGGCTCGCGTTGTTGTCAGGAAAGGGTTTCTGACGGAGCCGTCTGCCTTGTGTTTTAAGACCTAACGCTCCGCCGCCTAATAGACACGGCACAGTGTGAGCGTGACGCTCGGACCGGACGCACGGGAAACCGAAACACGCGTGTGACTCCAAGTGTCTTTCCCCAGGTGGCTTTCCGGCCCTTGCCCCTCCCCAGGCCGTTTCCCTTTAAGGGGTGCCCTTGAGTCCACTGAGGGGTTCAGAGGGAGAGCCATGGCGCCCGTCAGCCTCGGCAGCTTGTCTTCTGGAGGCCGGGCCCGTGCTCCCCGCCTCCAGCTCGGACGCCTCCTCTCCAGGTGGCGCAGGTACGTGTTTGCGAGAAAACTCGGCCTCGCCTGTGACGGTGACGCAGCCCAGACAAATACACCTGCCGCCTCCCTCTCCCCGTCCCAGCGTGGAAACCCTTGGGCCAGGGATGCGGTCTCCACTCCCGCCGTTCCTGCGGCCGGAATCATGAGCTCGTGCGGTGGGGAGGCCGGGGCTCAGGCTCTAGGGCAGCTCCCTGTCCCGCGGCCCGAGGGGAGCGGACCGACCTCCGCGGCGGGAGGGAAGCAGCCGGTGGCTCCGCACCCGTCACGTTTAAGTTACTGCTCACATCAGTTTTTACCCCTGTGCACAGGTCAGGACTGAACGGTGGTGGGGAAAGGTGTGCAGCTCAGAACACACTGAGTGGACAGAAGCCAGGGTCACACGGCCTGCAGGGGGGACCTGTGAGCAGCGCTCCAGTGAGCCACATGCAGAGGCAGGCAGGGCGCTGAGACGATCGCGTGCTGTCTGTGTGCTGTCCGTGTGCTGTCCGTGTGCTGTCCGTGTGCTGTCCGTGTGCTGTCCGTGTGCTGTCCGTGTGCTGTCCGTGTGCTGTCCGTGTGCTGTCCGTGTGCTGTCCGTGTGCTGTCCGTGTGCTGTCCGTGTGCTGTCCGTGTGCTGTCCGTGTGCTGTCCGTGTGCTGTCCGTGTGCTGTCCGTGTGCTGTCCGTGTGCTGTCCGTGTGCTGTCCGTGTGCTGTCCGTGTGCTGTCCGTGTGCTGTCCGTGTGCTGTCCGTGTGCTGTCCGTGTGCTGTCCGTGTGCTGTCCGTGTGCTGTCCGTGTGCTGTCCGTGTGCTGTCCGTGTGCTGTCCGTGTGCTGTCCGTGTGCTGTCCGTGTGCTGTCCGTGTGCTGTCCGTGTGCTGTCCGTGTGCTGTCCGTGTGCTGTCCGTGTGCTGTCCGTGTGCTGTCCGTGTGCTGTCCGTGTGCTGTCCGTGTGCTGTCCGTGTGCTGTCCGTGTGCTGTCCGTGTGCTGTCCGTGTGCTGTCCGTGTGCTGTCCGTGTGCTGTCCGTGTGCTGTCCGTGTGCTGTCCGTGTGCTGTCCGTGTGCTGTCCGTGTGCTGTCCGTGTGCTGTCCGTGTGCTGTCCGTGTGCTGTCCGTGTGCTGTCCGTGTGCTGTCCGTGTGCTGTCCGTGTGCTGTCCGTGTGCTGTCCGTGTGCTGTCCGTGTGCTGTCCGTGTGCTGTCCGTGTGCTGTCCGTGTGCTGTCCGTGTGCTGTCCGTGTGCTGTCCGTGTGCTGTCCGTGTGCTGTCCGTGTGCTGTCCGTGTGCTGTCCGTGTGCTGTCCGTGTGCTGTCCGTGTGCTGTCCGTGTGCTGTCCGTGTGCTGTCCGTGTGCTGTCCGTGTGCTGTCCGTGTGCTGTCCGTGTGCTGTCCGTGTGCTGTCCGTGTGCTGTCCGTGTGCTGTCCGTGTGCTGTCCGTGTGCTGTCCGTGTGCTGTCCGTGTGCTGTCCGTGTGCTGTCCGTGTGCTGTCCGTGTGCTGTCCGTGTGCTGTCCGTGTGCTGTCCGTGTGCTGTCCGTGTGCTGTCCGTGTGCTGTCCGTGTGCTGTCCGTGTGCTGTCCGTGTGCTGTCCGTGTGCTGTCCGTGTGCTGTCCGTGTGCTGTCCGTGTGCTGTCCGTGTGCTGTCCGTGTGCTGTCCGTGTGCTGTCCGTGTGCTGTCCGTGTGCTGTCCGTGTGCTGTCCGTGTGCTGTCCGTGTGCTGTCCGTGTGCTGTCCGTGTGCTGTCCGTGTGCTGTCCGTGTGCTGTCCGTGTGCTGTCCGTGTGCTGTCCGTGTGCTGTCCGTGTGCTGTCCGTGTGCTGTCCGTGTGCTGTCCGTGTGCTGTCCGTGTGCTGTCCGTGTGCTGTCCGTGTGCTGTCCGTGTGCTGTCCGTGTGCTGTCCGTGTGCTGTCCGTGTGCTGTCCGTGTGCTGTCCGTGTGCTGTCCGTGTGCTGTCCGTGTGCTGTCCGTGTGCTGTCTGTGTGCTGTCTGTGTGCTGTGTGCTGTGCTGTGTGCTGTCTGTGTGCTGTCTGTGCTGTCTGTGTGCTGTCCGTGTGCTGTGTGTGCTGTCTGTGTGCTGTCTGTGTGCTATCCTTGCTGTGTGCTGTGTGTGTGCTGTGTGTGCTGTCTGTGTGCTGTCCGTGTGCTGTCCGTGTGCTGTCCGTGTGCTGTCCGTGTGCTGTCCGTGTGCTGTCCGTGTGCTGTCCGTGTGCTGTCCGTGTGCTGTCCGTGTGCTGTCCGTGTGCTGTCCGTGTGCTGTCCGTGTGCTGTCCGTGTGCTGTCCGTGTGCTGTCCGTGTGCTGTCCGTGTGCTGTCCGTGTGCTGTCCGTGTGCTGTCCGTGTGCTGTCCGTGTGCTGTCCGTGTGCTGTCCGTGTGCTGTCCGTGTGCTGTCCGTGTGCTGTCCGTGTGCTGTCCGTGTGCTGTCCGTGTGCTGTCCGTGTGCTGTCCGTGTGCTGTCCGTGTGCTGTCCGTGTGCTGTCCGTGTGCTGTCCGTGTGCTGTCCGTGTGCTGTCCGTGTGCTGTCCGTGTGCTGTCCGTGTGCTGTCCGTGTGCTGTCCGTGTGCTGTCCGTGTGCTGTCCGTGTGCTGTCCGTGTGCTGTCCGTGTGCTGTCCGTGTGCTGTCCGTGTGCTGTCCGTGTGCTGTCCGTGTGCTGTCCGTGTGCTGTCCGTGTGCTGTCCGTGTGCTGTCCGTGTGCTGTCCGTGTGCTGTCCGTGTGCTGTCCGTGTGCTGTCCGTGTGCTGTCCGTGTGCTGTCCGTGTGCTGTCCGTGTGCTGTCCGTGTGCTGTCCGTGTGCTGTCCGTGTGCTGTCCGTGTGCTGTCCGTGTGCTGTCCGTGTGCTGTCCGTGTGCTGTCCGTGTGCTGTCCGTGTGCTGTCCGTGTGCTGTCCGTGTGCTGTCCGTGTGCTGTCCGTGTGCTGTCCGTGTGCTGTCCGTGTGCTGTCCGTGTGCTGTCCGTGTGCTGTCCGTGTGCTGTCCGTGTGCTGTCCGTGTGCTGTCCGTGTGCTGTCCGTGTGCTGTCCGTGTGCTGTCCGTGTGCTGTCCGTGTGCTGTCCGTGTGCTGTCCGTGTGCTGTCCGTGTGCTGTCCGTGTGCTGTCCGTGTGCTGTCCGTGTGCTGTCCGTGTGCTGTCCGTGTGCTGTCCGTGTGCTGTCCGTGTGCTGTCCGTGTGCTGTCCGTGTGCTGTCCGTGTGCTGTCCGTGTGCTGTCCGTGTGCTGTCCGTGTGCTGTCCGTGTGCTGTCCGTGTGCTGTCCGTGTGCTGTCCGTGTGCTGTCCGTGTGCTGTCCGTGTGCTGTCCGTGTGCTGTCCGTGTGCTGTCCGTGTGCTGTCCGTGTGCTGTCCGTGTGCTGTCCGTGTGCTGTCCGTGTGCTGTCCGTGTGCTGTCCGTGTGCTGTCCGTGTGCTGTCCGTGTGCTGTCCGTGTGCTGTCCGTGTGCTGTCCGTGTGCTGTCCGTGTGCTGTCCGTGTGCTGTCCGTGTGCTGTCCGTGTGCTGTCCGTGTGCTGTCCGTGTGCTGTCCGTGTGCTGTCCGTGTGCTGTCCGTGTGCTGTCCGTGTGCTGTCCGTGTGCTGTCCGTGTGCTGTCCGTGTGCTGTCCGTGTGCTGTCCGTGTGCTGTCCGTGTGCTGTCCGTGTGCTGTCCGTGTGCTGTCCGTGTGCTGTCCGTGTGCTGTCCGTGTGCTGTCCGTGTGCTGTCCGTGTGCTGTCCGTGTGCTGTCCGTGTGCTGTCCGTGTGCTGTCCGTGTGCTGTCCGTGTGCTGTCCGTGTGCTGTCCGTGTGCTGTCCGTGTGCTGTCCGTGTGCTGTCCGTGTGCTGTCCGTGTGCTGTCCGTGTGCTGTCCGTGTGCTGTCCGTGTGCTGTCCGTGTGCTGTCCGTGTGCTGTCCGTGTGCTGTCCGTGTGCTGTCCGTGTGCTGTCCGTGTGCTGTCCGTGTGCTGTCCGTGTGCTGTCCGTGTGCTGTCCGTGTGCTGTCCGTGTGCTGTCCGTGTGCTGTCCGTGTGCTGTCCGTGTGCTGTCCGTGTGCTGTCCGTGTGCTGTCCGTGTGCTGTCCGTGTGCTGTCCGTGTGCTGTCCGTGTGCTGTCCGTGTGCTGTCCGTGTGCTGTCCGTGTGCTGTCCGTGTGCTGTCCGTGTGCTGTCCGTGTGCTGTCCGTGTGCTGTCCGTGTGCTGTCCGTGTGCTGTCCGTGTGCTGTCCGTGTGCTGTCCGTGTGCTGTCCGTGTGCTGTCCGTGTGCTGTCCGTGTGCTGTCCGTGTGCTGTCCGTGTGCTGTCCGTGTGCTGTCCGTGTGCTGTCCGTGTGCTGTCCGTGTGCTGTCCGTGTGCTGTCCGTGTGCTGTCCGTGTGCTGTCCGTGTGCTGTCCGTGTGCTGTCCGTGTGCTGTCCGTGTGCTGTCCGTGTGCTGTCCGTGTGCTGTCCGTGTGCTGTCCGTGTGCTGTCCGTGTGCTGTCCGTGTGCTGTCCGTGTGCTGTCCGTGTGCTGTCCGTGTGCTGTCCGTGTGCTGTCCGTGTGCTGTCCGTGTGCTGTCCGTGTGCTGTCCGTGTGCTGTCCGTGTGCTGTCCGTGTGCTGTCCGTGTGCTGTCCGTGTGCTGTCCGTGTGCTGTCCGTGTGCTGTCCGTGTGCTGTCCGTGTGCTGTCCGTGTGCTGTCCGTGTGCTGTCCGTGTGCTGTCCGTGTGCTGTCCGTGTGCTGTCCGTGTGCTGTCCGTGTGCTGTCCGTGTGCTGTCCGTGTGCTGTCCGTGTGCTGTCCGTGTGCTGTCCGTGTGCTGTCCGTGTGCTGTCCGTGTGCTGTCCGTGTGCTGTCCGTGTGCTGTCCGTGTGCTGTCCGTGTGCTGTCCGTGTGCTGTCCGTGTGCTGTCCGTGTGCTGTCCGTGTGCTGTCCGTGTGCTGTCCGTGTGCTGTCCGTGTGCTGTCCGTGTGCTGTCCGTGTGCTGTCCGTGTGCTGTCCGTGTGCTGTCCGTGTGCTGTCCGTGTGCTGTCCGTGTGCTGTCCGTGTGCTGTCCGTGTGCTGTCCGTGTGCTGTCCGTGTGCTGTCCGTGTGCTGTCCGTGTGCTGTCCGTGTGCTGTCCGTGTGCTGTCCGTGTGCTGTCCGTGTGCTGTCCGTGTGCTGTCCGTGTGCTGTCCGTGTGCTGTCCGTGTGCTGTCCGTGTGCTGTCCGTGTGCTGTCCGTGTGCTGTCCGTGTGCTGTCCGTGTGCTGTCCGTGTGCTGTCCGTGTGCTGTCCGTGTGCTGTCCGTGTGCTGTCCGTGTGCTGTCCGTGTGCTGTCCGTGTGCTGTCCGTGTGCTGTCCGTGTGCTGTCCGTGTGCTGTCCGTGTGCTGTCCGTGTGCTGTCCGTGTGCTGTCCGTGTGCTGTCCGTGTGCTGTCCGTGTGCTGTCCGTGTGCTGTCCGTGTGCTGTCCGTGTGCTGTCCGTGTGCTGTCCGTGTGCTGTCCGTGTGCTGTCCGTGTGCTGTCCGTGTGCTGTCCGTGTGCTGTCCGTGTGCTGTCCGTGTGCTGTCCGTGTGCTGTCCGTGTGCTGTCCGTGTGCTGTCCGTGTGCTGTCCGTGTGCTGTCCGTGTGCTGTCCGTGTGCTGTCCGTGTGCTGTCCGTGTGCTGTCCGTGTGCTGTCCGTGTGCTGTCCGTGTGCTGTCCGTGTGCTGTCCGTGTGCTGTCCGTGTGCTGTCCGTGTGCTGTCCGTGTGCTGTCCGTGTGCTGTCCGTGTGCTGTCCGTGTGCTGTCCGTGTGCTGTCCGTGTGCTGTCCGTGTGCTGTCCGTGTGCTGTCCGTGTGCTGTCCGTGTGCTGTCCGTGTGCTGTCCGTGTGCTGTCCGTGTGCTGTCCGTGTGCTGTCCGTGTGCTGTCCGTGTGCTGTCCGTGTGCTGTCCGTGTGCTGTCCGTGTGCTGTCTGTGTGCTGTGTGTGCTGTCTGTGCTGTCTGTGCTGTGTGCTGTCTGTGTGCTGTGTGTGCCATCCTTGCTGTCTGTGCTGCCATGTGTGCTGTCTATGTGCTGTGTGAGGGGCAAGGGTGGGCTCTTGTGCTGCTGTTTCCCAGGCGTCGGGAGCCCTAATCTCTTCCCTTCTTTCCTGAAGGCATAGCCTCTCCCCTGGCCAAAGAGAGAAGGGCAGTTCCCTTGGGACCTGGAAGTGTCCCTGGAATGTTGACCTTTCCGTGTAGTGTAACATGTTGACCTTTCTGTGTGTGTAACATGTTGGCCCTTCCGTGCAGTGTAACGTGTTGACCTTTCCGTGTAGTGTAACATGTTGGCCCTTCCGTGCAGTGTAACGTGTTGGCCCTTCCGTGCAGTGTAACGTGTTGGCCCTTCCGTGCAGTGTACCGTGGGCTTCATCTGGGTGCCGCTTCCTCTCTGAATGACGCTTGGATGCTGTTCGGTCTGCACTGTGTGTTTGGATGAGGAGCTAAGGCGTCAGTGGAACCCAGCTCTTCAGCTGTCATTAGGGGGGTGACCAGCCGCAGGGTCTGTGGGTCTGGGACTGTCCTCAGTCCCACACAGTGTGGCCTGTGCCACTCACCCCGCGTTTGGAGGCTCGGGACCCGAGAGCCGTGAGCCCCGTCCGATGCCTGGTGTGGAGGTGGGTGCGGAAGCTCGCAGACTGCGGGAGGCTCGGTGTTGGCAGAAAGCTGTGCTGGGCCCGCTTCGGAGCTGGCTCACGCCTGCTGTTTCCCTGTAAATCCTTTTAAAATGCTAATATTCCGGTGCAAGCCTGCCCCTGCCGCGCGGGGGAAATGAGCTGACACTGTGTAGATGTCAACCACTTGTGCCTGTAGCGCCGGTACCAGCGTCTCAGACCAGGTCCCGGGGCTGAGTGCAGCAGCCGGTGCCTGCTCCCCGCGTGCCCTCCTCGGGCCGCCGGCGGGAGGTGTGTGAGGGACGTGTGGCGTGTGTTGCAGGATCGGGACGGCGGCGCTGGCCGTGCAGGTCGTGGGCAGCAACTGGCCGAAGCCGCACTACACCCTGCTGGTCACGGGCCTGTGCCGCTTCCAGATCGTGCAGGTGCTGAAGGAGAAGCCGTACCCCGTGGCCCAAGTGGAGCAGCTGGACCGGCTGGAGGAGTTCCCCAGCGCCCTGCAGGCCCGGGAGGAGCTGGGCGAGCTGTCGGAGCAGTTCTACAAGTACGCGGTGCAGGTGAGCGCCCACGTTTCTCAGCACGTCTCCTTCGGCGCCTTCGCTGCCCTGAGCTGCGACGGACGGGTGGGGTGGTGCAGTGTTAGGGCTGTGTGTGTCCGAGTGAGTTAATAATATACCATAACGTGTGCATTTCAGTGTGCCTCGTCTCTGGGGTTGTGCCTCAGTCTTTCTAGGACACATTAGCCAACCCTTTCTAACATGTTTCCAGAAAGTACTTCTAGAATTTTTCTTATAACTTCTGGTGTCTCCAAACCAGACAGTTACTAAACACGTTTTAAAACTTAAAAGCACTGCCATTGTCACTAGACTGTCTGGGCAACAAGTTATGTACGTCACGCTTGTCACCGTGGAGGAGGCGGATGAGCCCGTGGTGGCGGTTCTGAGCGAGGGGCCCGGGTTTTGGGGGGGCTTGGGA